CGAGGCCAGCAGCTCCACGGCGATGGTGGCTTTGTTGTGAGCAGCCTCGGTGCCTGAGCTGCTGCTGTGTACAAAACCAGAGCTCTGCACTGCAGAGAAATGTGGAAATGTTCCTCCTCCTCCTCCCCCTGGAGCCTGCTTTAACCCGTGCTGGTGCTGCCAGCCGAGGTGCTGGGTTGGAGGAGCGCAGCAGGGAGCTCTCCCCAGGGATTGTGGCCCACACACAGGGATGGGAGGCACCTCGGGGAGCAGGGAGGTGCTGTGGGAGTCTCTGGAGCTCTGCCACTAGCATTCCTTTTTTTAAAAATATATATTTTATTATTTTTTTCCCAGTGAGTTTCATATTTAGAAACTCTGCCCTACTGGAGGAGCTCCACACGAGTGCCGTCGCACTTTGGCCATGAATGGGTACTTGAACGAATCCAACTTCACCATGGTGGAGGAGGGCTTCACCCCCAGGGACCTCCTGGAGAACCTCCTGGTGGGGCCGTGCCCCTCGGTAAGGGCCAGGACCGGCGGCTCCGCTGCTCCCTGCGGCCGTGGGGCCGTGGCTGCTGCTCACCCCAGCCCTGTCCTAGAGCGAGCAGCAAGCCTTCTTCGTGGCCGACCTGGGGGACATCGTGAGGAAACACCTGCGGTTCCTGAAGGCCTTGCCCCGCGTGAAGCCCTACTTCCCCGTCAAGTGCAACAGCAGCGGAGGAGTGCTTCGGCTGCTGGCCGAGCTGGGGGCAGGCTTTGCCTGTGCCAACAAGGTAGGGACGGGTTGGGATGAGCACCCCCAGGGTGCGCGTGGGAGAGCGGCACAGCTCGCCCCCATCCCCAGGTTTCCTCTTGCTGGCACCTCCAGCAGCAGAGGTCTCCCCCTGCTGTCAAACCCTGCCACACAGCCCGGAGATCCTTGTCCCGGCTGGTCCGTGACTCAGGCTCGTTGCCTTTGCCCAACATTCCTCTGTGTGACCTGTGTCCTGGCTGGCAGGCTTGGCTGGTGCAGGGTTCATCCCTGGGGTGCCGCTGCTGCGGCTGTTCCCTGTGAGTGGCTGTAGGGCCGAGCACAAAGCTCCCTGATCCATCCGTTTGCTCGTAGCCAGGTTTCCAGGGAAGACCAAAGTTAAGCCACTTACTTGGATGTAATTAAGCAGGACATGTCACCAGGAGGAGAAAGTGCAAGGATTCGGATGGCTCTGTGGCTGTAACCCTCCCGCTGCAGCTCCCGGGGGAGATGTGCCCAAACCCCGTCCCTGCTCCCGTGCCCCACTTCTTTTCTCCCCTCTTGGTCTCGTGCTGCTTGTGAACACCTCGCTGCAACCTGCCCCTGCTGGGGCAAAGCTCACTGTGATCCCCTTGAGTTTTTGTAGGTTTTCCCTGGAGAAGCCCAGGCTGCAGTGCCTGGTTTGCCCCTCGCAGTGCCACGGTGGCCGTGTCCCGGAGCCGGCCGGGTCCGAGCGTGGCGGTGCCCCTGATCCGTGTGCCATTTCCCTGCAGACAGAGATTGCAGCGGTTCAGAGCATCGGGGTCCCGGCTGACAAGATCTTCTACAGCAGCCCCTGCAAGCAGATCGCCCACATCAAATACGCGGCCAGCCGCGGCGTGCGGCTGATGGCCTTTGACAACGAGGTGGAGCTGGGCAAGGTGGCCAGGAGCCACCCCCAAGCCAGGTGGGTGCCGATGCTGGAGGGGGCTGAAGTAGGAGCTGGGGAGGTGGCTGTGGGGTGGTGGAGGGCCCAAAGACCCCTCAAGATGGTGTTTTTTTTTGCTGCGCAGGATGCTTTTGGGTATTGCTGCTGACTCCAGCCCCTCCTGCCCATCCCAGCATGATGTTTGGTGCCACGCTCAAGTCCTGCCGGCGCCTGCTGGAGGCAGCGAAGGAGCAGGCTGTGGAGGTTGTTGGCATCAGGTACGGCACGTTGTCCTTCCGTCGGGGTGCTCAGGGGTGGGCATCCCAGTGGGGAGCTCTTGTTGGGACCAATTTGGGGCAGGTTGGCCTGCAGAGAGGGGCTCTGCAGGGTGGGCTGGGCAGTCTCACCCCTGATGGTCTGTGGGAGGTGCAGGGGTGCCCCGGAGAGGATCGGGGGCTCTCCGTGTCCCCTCGCTGCCACAAGGGACAGGCCAGCCCTGCTCAATGGGACCGTGCCCTCAGCTTTCACCTCGGGAGCTGCAGCCTGGAGCCCCAGGGCTTTGCCCAGGCTGTCGCTGAAGCTCAGCTGGCGTTCGACATGGGCGCAGAGCTGGGCTATCGGATGCACCTCCTGGACATCGGAGGGGGGTTCCCCGGCACCGAGGACGCCAGAGCTCAGTTCGAGGAGGTACACGGCTCCCAGGGCAGGCAGAGAGCGAGGCTGGAGCTGGCTCCCTGCCCCGTGCCTGGGCATCGAGGCTGAGCTCATGGGGTCGAACATCTTTTCCCCATCCAGATCGCTGCCGTGATAAACTCTGCCTTGGACACGTATTTCCCGGAGGGCTGTGGGGTGGAAATCATTGCGAGACCCGGGCGATACTACGTCACCTCGGCCTTCACTCTCGCAGCCAGCATCACGGCCAAGGAGGAGATTCCCATGGAGCAGCCGGGCTCTGATGGTCCGTGGGGCTGGGGGTCTGTGGGACCAGCCTGCCTGTGGGACCATGGCCCCTGAGCCCCTCTCTGCTCCCCCAGGGGAAGAGTCCGGCAGCAAGAAGAGCCTCGTCTACCACCTCAGTGATGGCATCTATGGAGCCTTCAGCTGCGTCCTGTTTGACAGCCCCTGCCCGAAGCCTCTGCTGCACAAGGTGAGGATCTGCTCTGGCTTGAGGACAGCCCAGCAGGGCCCTCAGAGGTGTCAAACCAGGTGGCAAGAGCCTGGGTCTGCCTCTGGGCTTGGCAAGGCAGTTTGGGGTGGTAAATTGGGTAGTACAGATGCTGTCTGGCCACCTGTGAGCCAAAGAACCTTTGGGAAAGGCGAAAACCATCCTTCAAAACCTTGAAAACCATCCTTCAAACCACCTTGAGAACCATCCTTTCAGGCTGGTCTTTAAAGCTGCTGAAGGAGCAGAGACAGACCGGGCACTGGATGCTTTCCACGGGCATCGAGGCAGTCTGGTCCAGGCTCTCGCCACCTGGGTTGATTTTAAGAGCATTTCTTTTGGTGTGGGGCCAGGTTCTCTCCCCGTATCAAACAGCTCAGTGCTGTGCTGTGAGTGCCCTCATTCCCTGCGGCTGCCCAATTTTTGCCCCCACAGAAGCCCTGCCCAGACCACCTCCTGTGCAGCAGCCTCCGGGGTCCACCGGCGCTCCCCGAGGACCGGATTGCTGATGGTTTGGAGCTGCCCGAGCTGCAGGACGGCGACTGGCTGATCTTCCAGGACATGGGCGCGTACAGCATCGCCGTGCCGTCCCTGCTGGGCGGCTGTCCCCAGCCACAGGTCACCTACGCCATGTCGCGCCTGGCCTGGTAAGGGACCGTCCTCGGCAGCAGGGCCGGGGGCTTCCCGGGGGAGGCTCCGAGCAGCCCCCAGGCTGGGCTCTCTGCTCAGGGGAGAGGGGTAAATCCGACGGGGGCAGACCCTGAGGGGTTTGGGGTAAAAACCTGGCCACTGGGGTTATGAAATAACGAGCCAGGTTTTAAATCCGGAGCCACTTTGTCACTGGAGAAGCCGTGGGCAGCTCGGCTCCGGCTCTGCACATGGAGCTGGGGAAGCAAAAGCCCCCGAAATCCCCTTCCCCTGCCCACCCTGTGGCATTTCATGAGTGGGGGCTCCTCGCGCCCCCCGGCTGTGTCGTGCTTGCAGGGAGGCCGTCCAGCTCTGCCAGGGGAAGCCGCTGCCGGCTGAGGACGACCACGAGAGCGCCTGCACCCCCTTGTCCTGCGGCTGGGAGATGGTGGAGTCGCTCTGCGTCCCCCCCGTCTTCGCTCCGGCCGGCATCATCTGAGCACCACGGGGACGGGGACGGCGCGGTGACAGCACCCTTGGGCCCACACCCCATGTCCTGGCACCCATGGGTGGCCCTCAGCACCCCGCAGGGATCCTGCTCCTCCTCCTCAGGTGCCTGTGTGCCTGCCGCAGGGGCTGGGCGGGCCAGCTGACGGGTTTGGGTTCTTTTTTAAAGGGTTATGGAAATAAATGGCTGCTGAGCATGGTCGGGTTATGGCTGAGGAGCCCCCGGGCTCTTCCTCCCCTCCCTGTGCCCGGGGTGGCGGAGGAGCCGGCTCTGATAGGGAGGTAGCTGCATAACGAGGCTGAGCTCGTTAGGGAAGCTGGGGCTGCTCACCCCAGCCCTGGGGGCTGCATTCGGGCATCCGGAGGGACCCCGGGGGCTTGGGGGGGCTTGGAGACAGGGGTGGGCTCTGGGGTGTGGTACAGCTGGGGGGAAGGCTGGGTGGCACCCTAATGAGCAACCCCCTAATGAGCCCCCCTAATGAGCCCCCCTAATGAGCCCTCCTGCCCACGGTCACAGCACTGTGGTGGGGGGAGGCCACAAAAGGCAAAGAATTGGGATGCTGTGAGACCCTGAAAGCCAGAGACTGGGGGCACTGGGAGCACTGGGGGCACTGTCTGCTGGGAGCACTGGGCACTGGGGTCACTGGGGGCACTGGGGTCACTGGGAGCACTACAAGCACTGGGCACTGGGAACACTGGGAGCACTGGGGACACTGGGGACACTGGGAGCACTGCGCACTTAGGACACTAGGAGCAGCTGGGAAGCACTGGGATCACTGTGGATCACTGGGACACTGGGAGCACTGGGAGTGCTGGGCACTGGGAGCACTGGTGACACTTGGATCACTGGGACCACTGGGATCACTGGAGACACTGGGACCACTGGAGATCACTGGGACCACTGGGATCACTGGGAGCACTGGGATCACTGGGAGCACTGGGAGCACTGGGAGCACTGGGAGCACTGGTGGCACTGGGCCCCACCAGCAGCAGGGGGCGCTGGGGCGCGGCGCGCTGTCCGCCCTCCCACCACCAGGGGGCGCTGCCGGGAGGACGCCGCCGAGCCCCTCGGCCGTAAAGCGCGGCGGGGGCAGCACGACAGCGGCCGCGCTTGACGGCGGCGGGCGTCGCGCTAAGGCCGGTGAAGGACGGCGGTGCCGGTGCCGCTCCCGGTGCCCGTCCCGGTGTCGGTCCCGGTCCCGGTCCCGGTGTCGGTCCCCGCCGGCCGCCGCCATGCCGTTCCTGGGGCTGCAGCGGCAGCTGGGCATCGACCTGGACAGCTGGCTGCTGCGGCAGAGCGCGGCGCAGCCCCACGGCAAGGCCGGGGCCTGCCACTGCCTTCGAGCGGGAGTGGGTGGAGTGCGGCCACGGCCTGGGCCAGACGCGGGCCCGCCGCGAGTGCCAGCCCGAGTACGAGGACTTCATGGAGTGCATGCACCGCACCAAGCTGGTGAGAGGCCCCTCCGTGTCCTCGGGGGGCTCTGGTAAACGGGGGGGGGGCTCAGCTGAGTGCCCCGGGGGGGTTACGGGGGCCTCGGGGGGAAAGGGGGTTCAGGGGGCTGGGCGGGGGGTTGTGTGTGGTAGTTAATGAAGAGCTGGGGGGCACGGAGGGTCAGCACTCGGCTTTCTCAGGAAGCAGAGAGTGTCTCTAACCCAAAACTTGTAATATTTAATGCTAAAATGTGTCGTGACAGCACCCAAGGGAAGGGTTAGTGTGGGTCCTGCGTCCTTGGGGCTGTGCCAGGGTTCTGTCAGAGGCTGTGTGAGTGCTTGTGACTGCCTGTTGTACGTCTCTGTCAACTCTCCTGTGTCCTTTGTCAGGCTGCACGTCTGAAAAAGATCCTGGACCAGCGGGACAAGATGATCAAGGAAGGGAAGTACACCCCGCCCGACTACCAGAAGAGCCAGGAAGAGCCCAGGCCTTGATGCGCTGGGACCCCACCTCAGTCTGCAGCTGAGCAGTGAAGCCCCTGCAAGGAAAGCGCCCGGCACGGCTGGGCTCTGCTGCGGCTGCTCCACGCACTGCGGGGTCGGGGCTGCCCGATGACCTTGCCCTGACTGGAGGGGAATGACACCTGTGTCAGGCATTAATTCCCTGCTAGTAAATGTTTCCTTTGGAGCAGCACGCGGCTCTGTCGTGTCCTTCTGAATAAAATACATCTGAGTGTCTCTGTAGCTGTCCTGCCAGGTTAACGCCCTGAGGTGCTGCCCTGGGGCTGGGGATGACCGGGAGCTGTGTCCCTCTGTCAAGGGCAGCCGTGGTGAGGTCCTCAGTGCTTGTGTTCCCTCCCTGCCTCGCTTGCAGGCAGGGCAGTCAGCCCCAAAAGTGTGTGGGGACAGCCTAAAGGAGTAAAAACCCATCCAAACGTGTCCTGCAAAGCTCCCTCCTAAAGAAATGTCCACGCCTGGCACAGTTCTACAGGCAGGGTTCGTGGCTGGGCTGCTCCCAGTCGCTTTCCAGTTCAAGATACTGGTGTGTGAGGTGAAAACTTGCCCAGAACACCTCTCTTTCACTGGGATTTGGGGCAGAAACAGCTAGATCCAGCTTCTCTCCTGTCATTTTGTTTGCGAGTTCTGTTTCCCTTGCTCAGAGGCTGGGAGGCTTTGCTCTGGAACCCGGTGTGTCAGCACCACGCGTTGAGCCTGGCAGCGAGCAGCGGGCCCTGTGATGGCAGCTGCAGCAGCCCTGGCTGCTGTCCCATGGTCCTGGCCACTGGGGCTGCCTGCGCCACCGTTCCCTCTGTAAAAGGGAGGATTTCCCACATTCCTCCCCAATCCAGCATGGTTTTGTAACAGCATTAAAGCAGGTGAGCACCTGGAAGCAGAGAGGGGAAGTATCTGTGCTTTAATCTGGGTTTTTGATGCCGGTGATTGTGGGTTTAATGCTTCATCTTTGGTCCAGGAGCGTGTGAGGTTCCCGAGCCTCCCAAAGGAGGAGCATCGCTTCTCTTCGGATGAGAACAGGCAATGGGCTGCCTGTTCCTGGGCTGAAGATGACCATAATGGGCCCATTTGTCCCCAAAACATGTTAAAAATGACTAATGTGGTGGGAAAGAGTGGCTGGTTTCATCACCAGTGTGTGTTCTGGTATCTTGCTCCCGAAAACTACGGGGCTGGCATCGCTGTAAGGGGCAAGCTGCACCTCTACGAGGCACGGCACCGCTGGGCGATGACAAAAACGATGGCAGAGGTTTGTTGAGGTTGAACACGTGGGGGAAGAGCCTGGGGTGAGGCTGCCGTGCGGCCTCATCACCACTCTGGCCTTGTCAGGAGCCATCCTGGGGGATATTTGCCCTTGGCAGGGCTCGTGCAGCGGGCGGCTGCTCCCTTCCCCCAGCCCCAGATGGATCCTCGCGGGGCCCAGATGGGTGCCCGCCGCTCGGGCTGATTCATCGCGCGTGGGGGACGGAGCCGCCTTCCTGGCGGAGGCTGGAGGGAGCGGGGGGCAGCCCCGGGAGCCCTGAGAGCCCCAAAACCTGGGGCTGGGGCTGGGGGCTCCGAGCCGGAGACATGGAGGAGGTTTGGGGTCAACCTCGACGTGAGGAGGCTGCCCCTGCTCAGCCCCGTGCTCACAGTGCTGCTTGTGAGGTGCCTCTCCTGGGTTGTGCCCAAACCAACGGGATTTTATCAGCAGCTTTAATATTTTTCTCCTTTTTCTCCTGGTTCCTGCCCGTGGCTGGATCGCAGAAGGGGTGATCCTGGTCCTGGATGGGTCCTGGGTGGGATTTCTTCTGGGGAGGCAGGGAGGGGATCCGGGCATGGGGCGCTTGAGATCTGGATCGATCTGATGGTGGAAATGGGGCGGCTGCCTCGCTTTATGTAACGGCCCGATAATCCTCCGAGATCCCGTTTGGTGCTTTCAGATATGAAAACTGTTTGGTGGCGATTCATTTCAGCAGGGGAAAACTCACATAAGGGCGCTGGCTTTCAGGTGGATTAAAGAGCTCCGGATGTAAAGGCAGGCAGAGGGGGAGCTCCCCGCGCAGAAGCGAGGGGGGAAAACATCAGAAAGATGAAAGAGCCGCGTGAAGAAGCGGGCAGAAATATTCACAGCTTCAGGTGCCAGCATCCCGGGAGCCTCCCAGCAGGAGGCTGCCAGCAGCGGTCGGAGCAGGGAAAATGTTAACAGGGAGAAAACCACGGCTGGGGAGAGAAATTCTGGCTGGCACCGTGCGCCCTGGCACCCGCTGCCCCTCCAGGCTGCAGCGTGGCCCCCGTTTACCCAATGTCAGCCCCGGGGGTTCAGAAATTGGAGGATCAGGGCAGGCTGGGCCAGCAGAAGGTTAAATCTGAGCAGCGCCTGCAGCCGATGGCTCGCTAAGGACAAGGAGGAATTATTCTCCCCGTGCCCGGAGAGGAGCTGCGGGGGGAGCTGATGTGGGGATGTGGTGGGGGCAGCAGCTTCCCTGGCCCCCGCGGGCGACCGTTCCGTGGCAGCTCGACTGCGACAGTCGTTAACTCGGCTGCCTTAACGAACCCCTCGCGAGCGGGCTGTGCACGGTGACGGCATCTCGGAGCCGAGCCGCGGCGGCGCAGGCTGGCGCGCGCCTGGGAATTGCTGCTCTGCAAAAAAAAAAAAAAAAAAAAAGAAAGCACAGGGCCAGGCTGGGAACGGGGAGAGAAAAAAAAAAAAAGGGCTCAGCAAAAAGGCAGCAACTTGGTGGTGTCGAGCGTGACTCATCTAATCGAGTTGTCCAGATGTCGGAGGAAATATCGGAATCTATCTAAACGCTCCTGCCTCCCAAGTGGCTCTTTAGACCAATCCAAAATCTAATTGCTCTGGCGATGGATGTTAACACAGCCAAGGGCAAGCGGGGGAATCGCGGGGACTGAGAGGAGCTGATGTATTTGTCAGAGTGAAATGCCCTGTTAGAAATTTCAGCTGATAAGGAGAATAGCCAAGGACCTGATGAAAAATATTGAGGTCAAGAGAGAGAAATCCACCTCCCGCCCCGCGCCACCCGGTGAGAGGAGCCCATCGCTGCCCAGGCAGCACCGTGAGGGCGTTACAGGGCAACGGGGCCCGGTCCTCCTCGAGTTCCTGCTGCAAAAGGGACCTGCAGCACCCGCAGCTTCTTGGTGCAGCCCACCGCCGAGCCCTGAGGGTGATTTATTGACAGATTTACACCTTGGTGCCTGCTTTCCTGTCCCTTTGGTGTGGAGCGAAGCCGTGTCCCAGCTGGGATGGAGGCAGCGAGGCTGGGACGGAGCTGGAGGTGGGAGCCTGGGGAGCCTCTTGGTGCCTTTCCCAAAGCCTTCATCCCCTGGGGTCCTGCTCCCTCCTCCCCAAAACCCGAAGCCTGCGGGAGGTGGGTGCTGGGGCTGGGTGAGCCACCGCCTCCCCGCAGCTCCCGCAGCCCCGTGCGTGCCGGGAGCCTCCAGCAGCTTCTCCAGCTCATCTGTGCCTTGGAGAGAGGAAATAAACAACTCCCGCAATATGAATAATTTATAAAAAGTCAAGGGAAAAGGCAGGTTTGATCTGCGGGCTCTGGCAAAGGTTTTAACGAGGGACTGGGGGACAGACCCGGGGGCAGAGCTGCCTTCCAGCTGATTTGCAGGGGCGCAGCCACGGCCCGGGGCTCGGCTGGGAGGCGTCTGCCCGTGTCCCCACAGCACCGAGCGGGACCCCACTGGCTGTCAGGGAGGGGTCTCCATCCATGGACCCGTTTTACAGCACAGAAATGGGGGGATGAAGTGATTCAGGGAGGATACGTGCAGCCAGCGCTGTGGTGGACAGCAGGACCCCGCCCCAGCCCCTGCCTCCCCCCCTGTCCTGAAGTAATGCCTCCCCTTCCCCGTCTGGGCAAAACAACGCCCGATCTTAACCCAGATTCCCAGCACAGCGAATCCAGATCAGCAACGTGCTGCAAAGGATTTTTGGAAATGCGTTTTGGGTGTGAAATGCATGCAGGTTGGAACAGGCAACGTTTCCTGGCCGCCTTCCCTGGTTTATTCAGGATTTAACACGGCGCAAAGTCGCCCGGTTTGCTCCGAGGGCTTCTCGAGGAAGGGGCCAGACGCCGCCGGCTGGTGGCACCGCGCAGAGGTGACGAGGGGACGCGTCCCTTAGGGCAGGGCTGGGGCACGTGGTTCCCCGTGGCCAGTAGCCTGGCTCAGCCTCACATGTGCCCGCTGATTCCTGCAGCCTCACCCCCCAGCAGCAAACGGTGCTGGGTGCAGCGGGCAGGAGCAGGAGCACGGCCAGGGCACGGGGATGTCCTGCGGGATGGGAAAGTGCCACCGATCCATTCGGGTGCAGCAGGGGGCAGCGAGGCACCCCATGGCACCAGCAGGATGTGGCTGAGCCACCCAACCTGTCCAGGAGCCGCATGTCTGACCCCGGGGGCTTTCCTCCTCCAAAGGTGTCTGAGGCTGCTGGCCCCTCAGTGCCAGCCCTCCTGCCCCCCTCTGCTCGCCAGTTTTGGGGTCGCTGTCCCCAGCCGTGCCAAGCGTTATCCACCCGTGTCCAGTACGGGCAGTGCCAGCGCAGCAGGGCTGGTGCTGGCCCAGGAGGATGCTCTTTGCAGCACCCCCTTTACTCCACCCCTGGTGCCTGAGCACTGCTCCAGCCCAGCTGCAGCATAATGGGGGTCCCAGGGCTCCCCCCTCTTGTTTCCAGCCCATGTTTGTGTCCGTGAGGCCTCGGCTGCTGCCACAGCTCCAGCACCACAACTGTGGGCCCTGGGGGATTCCAGCTGGGTGCCTTCTCCTGTGCTGCCCTCAACCAAGGCGGGTGCATGGATCCGTGTGGTTCCCCGAGATGTTCCCAAACTCCCATCCCTTTTGGGGTGCTCGGTGTCACCGTGCCATGTGCCACCACGTCCCCCCTCACCAGAGGCACTCGGGAAATAACCACGGGGAAGGGGAGGAACGGATCCAGGTGGGATCTGAAAGCTGGTGGGGGAGAAACACCCCAGGGCTGCACTGAGATCCCGAGGCACCGGGGCCACGGGGCTGGCCCGGCCTCGTGCAGCACCACGGGAGCCTGGGGCCGTGGCACCGAGCTGCCTGCTGGTGCTGAGCGTCCGGATCTGCCGTCAGCCGGAGCGGTTTGTCCTGCTCCACAGCAGCAGCCGGGGCTCTCCTGCTCCAGCTCAGCCCCTGCTCCGGGCTGCTGCTGCTGCCCCTGCCCGTGCCACGGCTGCTCCCCGCATGGACTCGGGGATGTCTC